GCATGAATTCGGATAGGCTCCAAAAAGAAAGAGCAAAAGCATCGAAAAAGCAGTAGATGAGGGGCTCTGACGAAAGGCTAACGCTCAAAACGTCGGCTTTTTAATTCTTTACGGTAGCCAATTTACAATTTCAACTTTCAGTTGATGTTACCAAATTAAGTTGATGTTACTAAATTAAGTTGATGTTACCAAATTAGGTAGAAAATATGGCCGACCCACGGGGAAGAGGGAAAGCCGTCTGGGACATCATCCAATCACAGAGCTTTTTTAAAAGATATAATAAAATTTAGAGAGCTGCGTTTTAACCCAATATGTGGTTTTAACGACGAGCGGTATAAGATACAGGTTTTCGTCCTAATCCGATCAAAGCAGTCATGACACAATTTTTTTGATGTATAAATTCATCCATAACAGGAGTGATTTCCTATGCGTGCAGGCCAACTTCTTGCTGCCAAGATTTCGCCTTTTAATCATATCACGGGTGATTCTTTTTTTGTGGACAAAGTAAAATAATAAGATCAAAGGCAAGATCTGCTAAAAGGCTCCATTGGAATCAATATCTATCCGGTCCCTATCTTGCTTTATTGACAAAAAAAAACTGCATGTTTATCTTGCCAAACGAATTTCAAAAAACACCTTCATTTTGAAAGATAAAACGCAGAAAAGACGACACTTTCAGTTGAAATTCCTTACCCCAGCCAACCAAGGCTCAAATTCTCCACTCCTGGGCACGGACGACAGTCAAATGCCAGTGGGTTGCCCGGGGGAAGTTGAAGCTTCAAAAGTCTGAACTTCCGTAAAAGCTCAAAGGAAAACCCATCGGGAAAAACGAAACTTTAGCGAATATAAACAGCTGCCTGTTAAAAGAAAAGAAAATGTTTATTAGTAAATTTCGTCGTCGCATTTGGGGATCAAGTTAGATAAATACTGTGTTAAAGTGTACTTACCCTTTCCCCGATCGGAAGCTAATTCCCAAAACTGCGCCCGCGTCACTGATTTAGCGGTTTTAGGAAACCGAACCGAATTTCCTGATTTCTTATTGGCTAGAAAAAAAAGTAATACGTAACAGAAAAGGCAATAAAAAATTACTCTCTGCGCAAACT